CGTCCCCTCCGGCTCCCCTCACACTCACGCACACAGGCCGGGCATTGATGGTAATGTATGCGAGGAAACAGCAGAGACTCAGTGATGGGTAAATCCCTTCCTCCTCCTCGGGCCCGTGCCCCGCGGGGTCTCCCCCCTCTCCTCCGCCATGTTTGGGCCCCCTTCCCCGGTGGCCGGTAACGGGTGCTTGCTAACGTCTCGCTCTCTCTCTCTCTCTCGTTCTCTCCTCAGCTGTCACGACCGCAGGGGGGACTCGCAGCCCTACCAGGTACCCAGAGCGCCGGCCGCCAGGCCCGGGAGGAGGAGCAGGGGAGGGGAAGCGGGAGCCGGGGTCGCTCGCAGTGAGGGGAGAGCTGGGGCGGGGGTGAGTGTTTCCCTTTTAAAAACAAAAGACGTTTTGTGCTTACCCCCCGCCCCCTTTCCCAAGTCCTTTCTTCTCCCCAAAACTGCTGCTGTGGGCTGTAACCTGAGCAGGGCATGATTTTAGACACTGAATAACCGGGGTTGCCAGTGAGGCTTAATTTCTGCAGTTGCCAGCTGCTAGCGATGGTCAGAAACCACCGTCGGTTCCATGAACTGCTGAGATGGACCGTAATTTCTGCAAGAGTTACTACGTTCGCCTGCCTGGCCTACGGATAAGTTTAGTTCTGAGGGTGTGAATGTGGGGAATGCTGGCATATTGTAGCGGTGCTCTCCTTAGGGCACGTAATTGAGCTGTTGTTTTATTATATTTTTTGTGTATTTGTATCACTGTGAAATGGAACCTGACAGTCAAAGACAGCTCTTAGTGACAGTTCATGTAAATGTAAACAGTTCCCACTCAGAAGTTCACACCGCAAAACCAAGCGGTCAAAGAGATGCAGAAAGTGCCTTTTTTGGTAAATATTTCCAAGTAAACCGTCATATTCCATGTTGCAAGTCCCCCAAATTTTAGCTTTTGTTATTATTTTATTGAGATATAGTAGTAAAGATAAAAAGCTTGCAGAAGTTTTAAGTAGGGGTGAAAGTGGCATCAGCTGTAAGAAGGACACATCCTGAACTAGTGTAAACTTTGAATAACTTTTTGTTCATCATTTTAATAACAACCAGGGACTTCTGCTTCTTCCTAAAGTGTCGGGAGCTCTGTGGCCACTTGCTGCTGAATGTGTGCAGTCCACCAGTGAAAATACAGAGAAACTAGATTTGTCCTAACAGTAAATGTTAGGTTGGATGTCATAGTGGGAGAAAAGGGTTTGAGTTCTAATTGCAGAACTTGTTGCTGTAATGTAGGTAATTAAAACTAGAAAGGCTAATATCGAAATGGGAAGTTAAATAACTTTAAAATGTTTTCTGGGAAGAGATCTGAAATATAGATATATCACTTTACACTTAAAGTTACTGAACAGATGTTAATGTAAATGCCTGTCCTCTTGTTGTATTTTGCAGGCTCTTAAATACTCATCCAAGGGTCACCCCAGTGGTGGTGATCACCGTCATGACAAGATGCGAGACACCACAGATCCTTCACCACCAAATAAAATGTTGCGACGCTCTGATAGCCCTGAAAACAAATATGTTGACACCCCAGGGCACACTAAAGCAAAAAGTGTGCATACTCACAGAGTTAGAGAGAGGGATGGTGGTGAGTTATCTTTAATTAACCTTTATTTGAGCAATTGCTGATTTTTCAGAAATATTATAAATTACCAGTTATTACTGACATGAGGAGAGCTAAATGATGTGCTTGGATGTGCTGCCATGCTTGGAAGACTACATTGAAACAAAAACAGCAGTTTCTTTGGAAGTAATAATTTAAATTTCTATTTTTACAGGTGTAGTAGTTCTTGCTAAGGCCAGAAAGATTAAATAAACTTTTATTTAGTGGTATGTCTGAGTTACTTTTAGATTTATTTCAATATTCAGTAATAAGCAATCGTATTCTAGATTTACCACTGAAAAATATTTTCTTTTAAAAACTATATTATAGTGCTATTATTTTTTCATAATTCTTTATATTGCGGTGATAAACTACGTAGTTGAGTACTTCATAGACTAAACCTCCTAAAAACGGAAACAAACTGCATTTTCAGCTGCTGTGTAGAACTTAACAATCAGAAAATAACAATCCAAATTAGCACCTACTGAAGTCTCTCTTAGCAGGAACATAGATGGGAAATGTTCACAGTTAAGTCAATTGGTTTGTTGTGTTTTTATAGACTGTTGTAGACAGTAATAATACACTCGGTGATGGCTTACCTGATGTGAGAAACAGGGAAGAGCAGGGTTTTCCTTTTAGAAATGGTAATGGTTACAGTTTAAAAAACCCCAAATACTGACTGAATTTTAAAGTCCGTTTTGTATTTTGTAAGTACTATGTTTTTTCTTAGTATGGAGTTATAAAACAAAGTGTTCAAATAGTAAATTTAAACTTAGAGCTTTAAGGTAGAGCTTCTTGATGCTCTGTGAAAAGCTAACAACGTGCGATATAAAGATATATTTGTTGCTGCATTATCATTACTTGTTATAATAGATAGTTAATGGTAACGTGAAACACAGAAAATATTTTTAGGTATGTTTTAGTGTTCCTGTGCACCACGAATACGTTTACAGCATCCAGGTGTTTTTGTAGTTCATATTTGTTTTTCCTTCTTTGGATTAATACAGAGATATCTGTAGATCACCAATAACGTGATTCTGTTGTCCAGAATGATGCTAAAAGCATGTATCGTATGTTTGCACACTGTTTTTTGTATATTGACCACACTTGAAAGTTCAGTGCTCTCAGATGTAAACACACATGCAAGGCTGCTATTCTGTGCTACCTTTCAAGGTATTATAATTTCCTATTTTTGTGCTCTCTAGTTTTTCCTGTTCACCTGTCCAAAAATGATAACTTTGCATAGTCTTATAATTGTTCTTAGTTTTGCTACAATTGGTAATTCTTCTGATTTCAGTGGAGCTGTATTTAGTGGAGCTATACATATATGAAAACATCTGGAGGATGAGGAGAACATTTCTAGTTTTGAGTATTGACATGCTTTTTAAGATAGGAAGGTGGTTCTGAAGTTCTCACAAAATCCATCTGTATTTAATAACTGATGAATGTCCTGATGTATGGAAGTCTATAATAATGATGGAAATGAATGAATTATAGTTTTATAAGTAAAAAGAACACTATCCCACTGTTACTTCTGCTTTCCCAGGCTTTTAGCACAGTGGAGAATATTTATTCTGATCTGAAAGTGTTTGTGTGCATATTTTACTTTAGTACAGCAGGAGAAGAAAACTGTTCTATACAGTTAGCTTGAAGGGAAATACTGATTTAAGTAAATGAATATCTGTACTATGTAATGGAACAAAGAAGCGCATTTTATATGTTGTTAATAAAATAGATGGGCCCCAACTTGCTCAGAATAACCAAAGTTGCATTGAATGCTGTATATTTTATACAGCAAATCAAAGCTGAGCTGATTTGAGCCAGGAACACGTTAACTTTGTCTCTCAGATTAGTTATGTGCAACTTTCAGCTCCCTGCATATTTCTTTCTATATCCTGTCACGGTTTACTGAGTCTTTCTGTCAATGTGAATTGAAGGTAGGTGTTAGAATATAGTTGAAATGCTGTGGGTATTGTGGACACTTGTATATTGGCAATATCTAAAGAACATATTTTTTCCATGTTCTGTGTCTTCTTGACTTACACTGAAGTACTATTTATTGGTATAGAATTCCTGTAGTTTTGCAAATATGTACATGCAGGGAATAGAAGTAATTATATTTTTCATTTTGTGACTAATTCTGTTTAAATGAAGGGATACATATCACAAATGATTGTGAAGAGTCTTTACAGACATCCTAATTGATGTCCTAATATTAAGTGGCTTTAAGGCTACTGTATTTTCCTCTTTTTTTTTTTTCTTTTCTTTTTTTACTGCTTGAGTGGTCTGTTCTCCATTGTCTTGGTTCTGGAAAAACTTTTTTTTTTTCCTTCTCCTAATTGCTGTACATTTGACTATTATAAAATTAGTGTGCTTGATTTGGAACTGCTACAAAGGACCTGTTGCTTTTCTATGATCTAGCTTAACTTAAGAAAACAAACGCTATTGAAAAATCTCTAGTGTTATTTCCCTCCCCAAATCCTCAATTCCCTTGAAGTCCCCAAACAGTCTTTTTTTCTGTCTTCCCAAAAACACACACACACAAAAACACTTTAAAATGCAGAGTCCTAGTGAAGTTTGTGAGGTTAAATTAACCTGTGCTGTGTCTCTGTCTGCAGGAGTTTGAAACTTACTGGATAGCTACCCCCCTTAATGTATCTGTTAGTTGTAGGTCAGTTCTTGCAGGCAAACATGGAGTTGGAAGAGATTAGTGGTCTTACCAGAACCAGAAGTTCTGTAACAGTAACAAATAGGGACTTAAACCTCCTGTTGTTTGCATGGAGAGAACTCTGAAGGGCCTTGTAGATGTGGAGGAGTGTTTCCGTTACAGAAAAAGGGAAATTACAAAGTTTTAGCATTATTGTGCCTGAGGATGAACAGACTGAGAAGGTGGATGATCCTAGTAGTCCTTTTCAAAGGAATGACTAAGAATGATATTGGTATAAAAGAATTATAGACAGGAAAGAGGAGGCAAGGAGGTGAAATAGGGTAGCTTTGGGAATGTTGTAAGGGAGATACAAATTCTACTCCCAAATAGTAGTAGTAAGGGACAGCCTGTTGCTTGAAAAAGGGGTTCATGGGGCAGGGGTGGAAGGGCTGTTTCTTATTTCTATAGGGCAGAATGACAAACTAATAATAGAAAAGAGAGAAAAAAAAAGTTGAGTTCAATGAAAAGAGTTTGGAGTGAAGTTTTGCCATGAGTACTCGGTTACTCTGTTGTTTCACTTCACTCATGTGGAGATGATGAGTATTTTGCTGCATTTATGCTTAAAAGACTTTGAAAAAGTGCTTCATATCATGATCTCAGTAAACTTTGTAAAATCACAAATGGGAAGCATTAGCTGGATTGTATTTTTGTAGAAATTTGATTATATCTCAGGATATTTAGATTCCAAAATATAACCAAGCTTTATTGAACATAAGCTTCCTTTATTTGTTTATTTTTTTATTAGCAATTAAGAATGCTGTTGATAAGCGCTCTACCATTCCTGATACAGTTCTTAAATTTAAAATCCTGCTCTCCATCAGAGCCTGAATGGAGTATTTTAGATTGTGAATTTTTGGTCTGCTGGAGTTGCTTCTGTCATGGAGTGTTGGCTTGCTTTGTTCCTGGTGGTTCCTGGAAGAGTTCAAAATCCACACTATAAAAGGCAGACTGAACAAGTGGAAACAGGGAGCCAACTTTTCTTTTCCTGTCCTAGTGACCCTTATAATAGAAGAGAACAAGAATCCGACTCCTGGTTAGTTGGTGTGATCATGGAGCAGCAGGCCCAAGTGAGCAGCTCGTTAGGACAGGGACGAGAGTGGGGAAGCTGGCTGGGCATGTGAGAAGAAGGAAGCCTGAGAAGAGTTAAAACGCAGTGAAGGGTTGAGGTTGCTAGCCACTTACATGCTGCTATTATTAAAATAATTATTTGCTACTGTGTAAACAGTTTCTTCACCTGTATTGTCCAAGCTAAGAAGAGAGACATCTGTGATTGCAAGTGAGAGAGTATATTGTCCATGAAACATTCTTTGGTTTCTTTTTTTTTCAACATCTGACTGCCTTCCCCCCCGCCCCAAAATAAAAGATCCCTCATCTAGTTCTTTGAATATTGTCTGTTTAGAAATAACTGGTGGATGGATCTGAAGGTTTTGTTTTGTTTTTTGGTAGAATAATGCAGTTGCTTCTGCTGGAGTAGTCAAATCTGGAAGGCTTTTCTGTGAATTAAAACAACATCAAAGTGAAAAATAAAAACCAAAAAAAAAGGAAAGAGGAGATTTCTGTGGATACTAGTGCAAGCTTTCTTTGAAGTCATTACTTCTAGGAGAGAGGTTATTTTTAACAAGAGTTTGTGTTAAGTATTTGACTTTTAAATAGAAAGTAACTTAAAATTTGATTTGAACCTGTGGCAGTGAAGTTCATTTTTGGTGGATTGATTGTATTACCCTTTTTTAACTCTGCTATGAGATTATCTGATGGAAAACATTGAAAGGTAAACAATGTAGGTTGTGTAAGTATTTTTTTTTTTTTTTAGTTTTGAATTTAATATTTAGAATGTTAACATTCAGAATTGATTTTTGAAATGTAGCTGAAAAGCTGTGCTTTTAAAAACATAGGATGGAAGTTATTTTTGTTACTTTTATTAGGAAAGAACTGTGATAATAATAGGACTGTATTAAGTGCTAATTGTTTAAGAAATGGGGTCTGGGAGGAGTCTGTGTGGGGAGGGGTCCTCTCCTTTTTCTTTCATTAAACCCTGGTATCTGATCTAAGTGGGAAGAGCAGAGGAAAATCTGTGAGTGAGAGACTATCCTTAGTCCTTCATATCCAGGAGACTGCACTTCATGGCAACAAGTTATGCTGTTCTCTCAGGCACCTGCTGTAGCTGCTTCCTAAAAGCCGCAGACATTAGGATTTTAATATTAGGATCTTCTAGAGTTTTGTGCTGTTCTGAATTGTTCACTGCTAGTGTATGAGCAGATCTATTTACAGATCTGTGTTT